AATTTGAATTAATGTTTGATTATCAAGCTATAGAATTATGTTATTACAGGCTATCCTGAAGGCCATCCTGATTCTGATAATAAAGCTCAAGATTTACGATATCTCAAAGAAAAGGTTGATGCTGGTGCTGATTTTATCATCACACAATTATTTTATGATGTGGATTTGTTTATAGAATGGGAGAAAGAATGTCGTAAAATTGGTGATCATTAATTATAGTATTTGGGCCTTAAAAGTAGAAAGATTTCGTCTGGTTTTGTTCAAATCGAGTAAGTAATTAGTTAAGGATTTCCGAAGATATTTTCGTTAAAACTAGAGTTGCTGGTGAAACTAAATCATGCTGATGTAACTGATGACTATCTAAAATCTGATTGGCTAGTAAATGCAATAGCAAATCAGATTTTAGATAGTCACCAGTTTCACCAGCACAATTTAGTTTCACCAGCAACTCTAGTTAAAACAATGTGCACAAAAATTGAGATGTCTTGGTTAGATTTATCCAGATGTTTAGCTTTCCATTTTTAAGGCCTATTCATTTAAATCTCATATATATATTAAACTAATGTTAGTAATCGACAATAATTAGGTATAACTGTGCCCATTATTCCTGGTATTATGCCAATTCAGGGTTATAACAGCTTTCGGAGAGTTACAAATCTTTGTAAAATAAATATACCAGCAAATGTATCAAAAGCTTTGGAACAAATTAAGGTTAATATATATATATATAATGCTGTTCATTATAAATACTAGTTGATATTGATGTCTTTTTATTTTTAGCACGATGATCAAGCTGTAAAAGATTATGGCGTGTCACTCGCAATAATTATGATCACTACATTATATGAACAATATAACGTTAAAGGGTTCCACTTTTGTACATTGAATTTGGAAAAATCCGTACGGTTAATATTAGAAAAAATGAGATTTGTACCAACAGAGGAAGAAAGAAATTTGAGACGCTCTAATAAACGAAGACCTAGCATTGGATTCGTCACTAATGACATTATTAGACAGGTGCATGAAATACTCATGAGTAATATCTTAATGCATTAATAACCTTTATGGTAATTATTAGGAACCTGATGGATCGTTGCCTGCCGCAAAACCTATTATATGGAAAGAACAGAGTGAAGACTATTGGGGGCGATCGGATGATTGGGATAATTTTCCAAATGGTCGTTGGGGCAATTCAAAATCACCTGGTGCTTGTGATAATTTTTTTCATGTAGGATTTCTTTTTTTTGCCTGTTATGGTTAATATATATCCATACATATATTTTATTTAAGCATTCGGGGAATTGGATGTTTACGGAACGTCTTTGAGGATTTCAGTAAGAATTGAAATTGTTATAATTATTGTATTTTCGTGCATTTCTTGCTAATTGCTACAAATAATTTACAGAAAGACCAAGCTCTGGAATATTGGCGAGAACCTAAAACTATAGCTGATATTATTCAGATTTTCAAGTCATATATTTTATGTGAAATACCTGTATTTCCTTGGTCTGAGGAACCTTTGTCAGAAGAAACAGAAGCAATTCGTCCAAATCTTATTAAACTTAATGAATTTGGTTATTTAACAGTAAGTTCACAACCAGCTGTTAATGGAGTTAGAAGTGATGATGTAAACTTTGGTTGGGGTCCAAAGGGTGGATATATATATCAAAAATTTTTCGTTGAATTTTTTGTAAGCCCAGAAATGTTTGATAAATTAATTAAAGTGATCGATGATAATTGCTGGGTTACATATTATGCTGCAAGGAGGAACGTAAGTATATTTTTTGAGTAGACAACTAATATATATATCCCTGTAGAAATTAATTTGATTTTTGCATAGGATGAGTTCAAAAAAAATATGAAAGAAGAAACATCCGCTGCTGTCACATGGGGTGTGTTTCCTGGTAAGGAAATTGTTCAACCAACCATCATTGAAGAAGTATCATTCAAGGCTTGGAAAGTAAGTGTAAAAGTATTTATCGGTAAGAAATGATTTTGTATTTATTTTATGTCAGTTATTAAAAATATGTATAACAATTTAAAGGAAGTGGCTTTTGAATTATGGTCTGAATGGGAACGTCTATATCCAAAAGATTCGATAACACAAAAATTATTAAAAGATATAGGTGATAATTGGTGGTTGGTTAATCTTGTATATAATGATTATGTAAACCCAGAAGGCGTTTGGAAAATTTTTTTTGGCAATGAGTAAATTAAAATCTGATTCTGAAAAAGTGTATATTATAGAACTTATGGGCTTTTATTCAATATTTGATCGAACGACTCACTAACTCTGTTCAGAGGCAGTTGTATTTTTAACTTATTGAAAATTTTGTATTCTTATATAATAAATATTTCTTAACAAATTTATATGATTTATTTATTGAGTTATTAAGATCCCTCCTTATTTAAAATTTATAAAATTTGTAGTTTTCATGATTATATTTCACCAACAACTTCTTCGAGAAGTTTTCTGCATCTAACTCTAGAACCCAGTTTGGCACAAAGTAAGAATGCACCTGATAATTTTCTATGTAAACTATATGTCTCATCAGGTGGTGGTGTAAGCCTATACTTCAGCATTGTAGGAATCAAATTCCTTACTCTGTTTGTAATTGTTTGTTTTGAAAAATCATATATTGGTGTTGTAAATGGTTCTCCTAGTGTCAAAATAGAATCAACATGCGCATTCTTCATAACCTAATAATTGAAATTGTAATAGTAATTATCAGATAAAAATTACGAATAATAAGTAATTAATGAGAATTTTACCTCACTTTCATATCCGGTCAAAAAACCTATTTGTTCTGAATAATATGCGCAACCTTCCCTATCACCATTAGCAGCTGATTTTAAGATTTTTAAGTAATGATCTATAAACGTGTTATCGAAATTTCTACTTGCTCCAAAATCTATTAACTCAATCTGTCAAAAAAGTTTTATTAACATAAGAACTGGAAATAAAGACAATTGTAATAGTAATTAGATTAAGTATGCATGCCTTCTTTGTCTTCTTGTTGTAGAAGAAATTAGTCCAATTTGGATCAGTCTGCATGAATTTAAATTCAGACAGCTCACGCAAACAAAGATATAATATATTTTTTCCAATCTATTACAAAAGACAAAAAAAAACAGAATCAATAAATAAATAAATGGCAACAAAGAAAAAATTACATTATTTTATCACCAACCTGATCTCTTAGTTCCTGATCATATGCTACAGCATGTGTTAAGGGCTCTCCCATCATTCTTTCACAAACCAAAACCATTTTTGTTGATAACTCTTTAACTACTTGTGGAACAACAAAATTTTTATCATTTTTTAATAATGTCTGAAACTTTTCCACACACTCTGCTTCCCTGATATAATCAGTTTCCCATAGTAGCTCCTTTCTTGCAACTTTAATAGTATTATCAAGATAGAGACCCTTTGGTAATAGATTACTAACTTTTATTAAAGTCCTTAAATTGTCGAGATCAGAATCAATTGAAGCAACAATACCAGGATATTGAACTTTAATAGCTAACTTCATTTTATTTGATGCAAGCTCAGCACTGTGTACTTGTCCTATAGAAGCTGCAGCTATTGGAGTTGAATCAAAATAAGAAAAATTTTCACGCCAATTTTGACCAAGTTCTGCCAACATTATTTTCTATAGTAAGTTTACAATTAGTAAAGCATTTTAAACGTAACAAATTAATTGAATTCGAGAAATTTATAAGTATTTGATAAATTACTTCCATCTGCCAATTTGGCATATAATTAGCGCTATCTTGAACTTTTAATATAAGTTTCTCTAATGGATCTGGTAACATATCGTTACCTACAAAATAAATTTGAATTATTATAAATTAATAGTTAAAATACAATGATAGGAAAAGGTTTACCTTGAATACTCAACATTTGCCCCAATTTCAGTGCAGCACCTCTCATCCTTGATAACTTGTTAACCAAACGATCTATATTGGCTTCGTTTATAAACGCAGAACTAGCTGATATCAAACAAAAAATAATTGTAAAACAAATATAATGAAGAAATGAAAACCTTTTACTGAAGTGAAAATCTTTTAACTTTTTGCATCAGAAACACCAGTAGCCCTTCTAATAGATTCACTGAGAGCACCAGCTCCTAATCCAATGGCCAAACCTTTATAATAACAAAGCATTTCTTACAATTATAACTAATAATAGATGATTTATTAAAGATTGGATTTTTACAAAGATATACCGCCATAATGGAACAATCTAGAAATTTTAGTAGTTGGCATTTTAGATTCTTTGAGTACTTTAGGCATCTGCATTTGAATTAAAGTTAGAATTAGTAATATCAAAAATTTTCTGAGAATTAAAATTGTTATATTTTGAATTTTTAATGTTTACCTTTGTTTCGTGAATGGTTTCTGGTGACGTTTTGACAGAGGAATTTTCAAGTATTGACGTATGACTTGATACTACAACATTTTCATACTTTAGCTTATCCTCTGTTTCTTATTAAAAAACAGTATTTTAACATTAATGGAGTAACTGTGGATGACATATGGTAATAATAATAATAAAAAAAAAAAAAAAAAAAAAAAAACCTCGTTCAACCTCATTATCTGGTCTATTTTGATGTACAGGTTCTTTGTATGTTGGCTGATATTTAACTGACCATCTCCAATTTGATGATTTTAAAATGATATTGGTGTTAGTTACTTGAAGTTTTAGAAAATTTGATGCTACTTTTGTACACGCATTTATAACTCCAAAAGTATCTGCGATTCTGTTTGAAGACATTTCTAATGGCACAGTTCAATCAAAGCCGATATAAATGCTATAATCTCTTAATTAGATTTAACTATCGCTATAAATTGATAAGCTTGATTTAAAAAAGAAACGAATAAGATGTTTGGATTTGATATTGCCAATTCTGGGAAAAATGAGTATGTGCATACTATTAATCGTTTTTTTTTTTTTTTTTTAGAATATAGTACTTAAATTTTCTGACACGTATACTTTAAATTTTTGAATTTTTATTGGATGATCAGAAATGTTCTTGAAAATAAGGTGTTGCTTGTAATTTATACAAGGGAAAACCTGTTAAGTTTATCGTTATTGTTTACCGATCTGATTTATTAGGATTGTGTCCGGTAATTTATAAATTTAAAAACTCGTTTCCCTTGACTGCACAACACTCTATAATGATAAAACAATTGCGTCTGTGTAAATATACTGTAATTAACTTTAATTCTTTTAATTTAAAAAGTTTATGCAGTCTAGACAGCAAAAATATATTTATTTACTTTTTTTTTTTTTTTTTTTTTCACTTAGACGGGTAGCGCCAGTATTTATTGTTTAATAAAGCTATAACTCCGTGGAGAGAGCAGAACATTAAAACTGAAAATCTGACTCCTGCGGTTACCTCACATAACCTAACCGATTATCTACACGCACCTATAGGCGACCTGCCGAACCAACAGAATATGATCAATTAAGATAATACCTGCCGGGGGCTTATCCGACCACCACCCTACAATAGGATGTTACCAATTTGATAACATCTTCTCATAGGGAAGTGAAAGAAAAAGAAAAAGTTTTATAAGTGAAATACAGAGGCATAGGAGGATATGAAAAAAAAACAAATAAAAGAAATAAAAGGGGTAAGGAGAAAATGAAAAAAGAACTAAACTAAATATGGGATTTTATACCCACACTGGACGGTCATAATTATAAGCCTGTGTTAGACTTGTAAAAATTGCATATTACTATCTAAATTATTTTCTACGCTAATTTATATAATTAATATGTATAAGCAAAAAACCCTAAAAAGAGAAAAAATATGATTTCTTTGACATTGGCACTGTAGAGAAGTCAGAAATTCACACCATTGGGCTCAAAGCATCATTTGTTCAGATCACCACATTCAAGGCACATAATCTAGTTATCTATATCCTTGTATCCATGTGTTTGTTGTGACAGGTAATAATATAAACAATGCTGCCCAATTTAGTAAGTAAACAATTTGTTGATCTTTTGAAGAGGGTAAGCTAAATCGTCCACTTTTTATAAAATTTTCCTTAAAAAAAAAGTGGAAGGTCAATGAAAGTGTGTGAGATTCTTCTGTAAGTTTTACAATCATATAGTTGTGTTTTCAAGCTTGTATTATTGTAGCAAGGGTTGTTCTACTACTTGCTTCTAGAATAAACCTTCTAGTTTGGATGCTGAATATCCTGAAAAGTCCACCAGACAAGAGATAAGCTTGATCCAAGAAAAACTATACAAGATATGTCCACTCCTCAGTGTTTTACGTTTTTCGAACTTCATCAATAGCAACCTGTTCAGAGGTAAGTTCAGTTCTCAAAATACATCTTCTGGTTTGGATATCAAATATCTTAAGGAGTCTATCAAAATTAGAAAAAGCTTAACCCCAAGAAAAACTACCCAAGTCACATCTGCTTCTCAGTATTTTACGTCTACAGGTTTTGTTAACAATTATTTACTTAAAGACAGGATCATAAAAATAGTTTTCTTGAAGCCTTCTATATCATTTTTCTGTAGTTCAGTTTTTTATTGCATTGTCCAGAGGATTGTCTGAAAGAGTTTTTGATATAAGATGATTTATTTACTTTTATTAATTAATAAAAACTTTAATCATTATAATTTTTAACAAACTAAATCAAAAACTTTTAAATAAATTAATAAATTTTTAGCTAAACTATATTTTTGTTACCAACCCTTTA